CAAAGATCGAGCTTGCTTACATATCCCAGCTTCTTCAGGTGGTCATGAACACTTGAATGATGGATGTTCAGTGTTTCTGCCATCTCTTGTGTCGTGTAACATGGGTTTGACTCAATCATTGCCTTTATTTTGTTGTCAACAACCTCGGTGGTCCTCCCTGACGGAGAAGCATCGTTGAGATCAAAATCACCAGCACAGAATTTCATGAACCATCGTTGGCACTGACATTCTTGGGAAGCATTGTCACCGTAAACTTTACGCAACTTCCCACAAGCTTGACACGTGTTCTTCCCTTTATGGAAGTAAAACAGTAAAATATGGCAAAAATGCACATTTTGGTCTTCCATCTTCAACTTGTTGTAAAATCTCCAAAACTAGAACTGTCAGCTGTCAAATGACATAGCAATAACAGAGATGTGAATGACTCTAGTACTTCCAAAAATGAACCAGTACTATCTGTTGCAAACATGCATCATGACTTTTCCAACAACCCAATAAATAAAGGAGCACAGGTGTGGTTGGGGTCATCCTGGAGTGGGTGTGAGGCAGGTGCATGATGTGGGCCTTTCTCCTTTGGCTAGGGAGGTGACCAGAAGGACTGGACACTGGCACTGAGATTGGAGCACTGAATGAGGACCAGATAATGGGTAGGATGATGGGTTGAGATAGAGATACACCGAGCTGGCGATGGTCATAAGACCTCCTAGCAGCTGAGTCAAGAAGGCATCTGGGTCTCTGGGTCTGTAGCTCAGGGGCAAGGTCTGGGATGGACAAGGTCTGGGCGGAGCCATCTGTATATGCTGAAAACCAGGCAGGAATGCCAAGGACCTGTAACCTGAGCTACCTCCCTCCTTAGAACCCACCTCCCCCAGGCCCATTTTGAGCCACAGATCACAGCTCAGAGCTTCACTTGCTAAGGAAATCTAAGCACATGGGTTATACACATGCTTCTGCATTTCTTATTAAGCATCTTAAACCATTTCAATCACAGTGTGCTTTGGTTTCATGTCTGGAAGAACTAGCCTAACAATGCGAGCTGTCCAGCAACAAATGAAGCATCTCACTTCTGCATAATGGTTGGTTCTAGAAGAAGATGGAAGTTATATACATATACATATTCCATAGAAGTTATATACATATTCCATAAAAGAATTTCCTCCAAAAAGTTCCCAAAAGTCCAGAGTATGAGACATATGTCTCCTGTCTAGATGCAGAGCCTCACGGGAGGGCATTCTGCTCTGCGTCCAGACTCCACCCAGCCCGGAGTACACCTGTGAGTCCCTGGGCCAGAGGGACGACTGGCTCACCTGGGATCTGCTGATGGCCACCCATGTGGAGAGGCAGGACTCCAGCCCAGCCAATAAAGAGGTTCCAGAAGCCACATAGCTCATCAAGTCAACCTGACTGGTCCTGAACTAGCAGATTCTGATGAATGACCCAGAATGGTCCCTTCCATCCCTGAGACTCAGGTCTTAATTACTGCCTTTGTCTTCTCTTGGAGGCCAACTGGGAAGAACTCATCAAAGCAACTTGCTCTGCCCTGTGTACACTGACTTGCCTTCAACCCAACCTTTGTAAGAACATACTGTTTACGCAACAGGTGTCTTCCACAAAAAAAAAAGAAAGAAAAAAGAAAGAAAGAAAGAAAGAAAGAAAGNAGAACATACTGTTTACGCAACAGGTGTCTTCCACAAAAAAAAAAGAAAGAAAAAAGAAAGAAAGAAAGAAAGAAAGAAAGAAAGAAAGAAAGAAAGGAAGGAAGAAAGAGAGAGAGAAAGAAAGAAAGAAAGAAAGAAAGAAAGAAAGAAAGAAAGAAAGAAAGAAAGAAAGAAAGAAAGAAAGAAAGAAAGAAAGAATCTACTCTTTGCAGGAGGCACTGGGGATTCAGTGATAAGCTGGATTCTGGCCATGTCCCCAAAGATTCATGGTCTAGTGGCCACCTAGACTAATGGTTCATTTTGCTTTCCACAAGTTCTTTCAAATCTCAGCCTCCTCTAATCTAACATGTAATATAATCAATCAATGAAAATATAGTTTACACCGAAAAGCACATCTGCTTGCCAGCATCCCCACAATGGAGTCCAGAGACCGATAGAAACTGTCAGTGAGGCTCACAGTCTCACCAGCCTTTCTCCACCTCCAAATACCCCTTCTCCAAACAAAACAGGCCTGTCATATGCAACATCCTTATTCACTAGTGTGGAAACGACATATTACAAAAACCACTGCATAAAGAAAGCAAACAAAAACATGTGCCCTTGAGTGTTTATCATGAATTCTGGAAAATACATTAGGCAAGTCAAATACAGAGGGGGAGGCTGCAGAAAAGAGCCTGTGAGGAGTGAAGGAAGCAGGAGTGGAAGTGGGGACCTCCTTGGGGAAGGACATGGGCGGAAGAAGCACAGACCCGAGCTCCTCTGACAGCAAGGCGATGGGGCCCCATTGTAGCCACTGAATCCTGGAGGCCATGTTGGAGACATCACTGCCTGCCCCTGACTTTTTTCCACCTTAGTTTATCCTAGCCATCACATATGATAAACAGAAAACAACTGTCATAAGAGTAATAGGACTTTTGTCTTCAGTGGAGTCATGCTGTAAAAGGAGACAGTCGTTCTGAATATAGCTGGCTCCCAAGGGTAAGTCTACATACAATTTAGAGAACACCTCTGTCACTAACCAGAGGCTATGCTGGGGTTGCTGGGGTCCATTGGTCAAAGATTTACAAGCCACACCTTCAGATCGCAGACTTCCAGAACGTCCATGAGTGTCCCTGCCAGTGTCCCTACCTGAGCCCTACTGACTGGCCTTAGTGAATCAGATCCTGACCACCAGTTAAGGGTATTTGCCAGGGCCACGTGCATGATGGTGACCTTGAATGCAAAGGGCTTTGGAGCCAGGTAGTCTTCATAAAGAATAGCAAATGCACCATTTAATAGCTCTATGACCTTGAACACATGATTTAACCTCTCTAGCCTCCCTTTTCCCAGCTGTAAAGTGGGGATGATAATAATTGCCAACAGGGTTGTTGATAAGGACTAAGAATGGTAACAGATCTAAAATGCCCTGACAAGTGTCTGGCATATAATGATGATCAAGCAATGGTAGCTGTTACCCCTTCCCTCCCCATAGAAAAGGAAACCCAGGAAGAGGGAAGTCTGTTCTGTAGAAGGACACACTCAGCCCAGGGATGTTCACAGGTCCAGGGCACACTGCTGACCTGAGTAGGGCACAGCCATGCACTTGGTGAGGCTGCTCCAGTGCGGCTCTGACAGGGGTGCCCTCACCTGACCCCTTCTCCTGATGCGAAGTAAGCCCTGAGTTCCAGTGCCCCAGCAATGCTCTGAGGGTACCTCATGCTGGCCATTCCAAAGCAAATCCCAGCCCTGAACAGGGGATCAAGAGGGACAGAAAGAGAGCCCCGGGGGTGATTTGAGATGTAGGGGAGAGGAAAGGAAACAGGTTGGAAGCATTAAAACAGAGCACTTTGGGAGACTGGCAACAGAGAAACACCGGCTCTCCAATTTGGAGGAGTCACCAAAAAAATAAAGCCAGCAGCAGACATGGAATGATCCTTTCTCTGGAACAAAAGAAAATTGGACTTTGAAGAACCTGTCGAGAAGCTGGCAAAACCCAGAGGATCAAAACTTCCCAAGGACCAAAGAAGACCCATGCAGGCTCTGAAGAATGGGGAGGCGGGTGTCATGTCCCTTCTCCTAATTCCCAACACGACCATCCGCAACCCATGGTAAATGACAGTTACTATGCATGTCTCCAAGTGGCCCATATGGACATGGAGATAAGATGTGAATTTATGGAGGAAAACCATGAAAAGTGGGCTGTGCAAGCATTACTATCAGATTCTACCTGCAAAATTATTGAAATAAGCCACCCAAAATTATTTCAGCCATATTAGCACTGAGCTAATGAAGAAATATGCATCATAAAATAAATTACCGATATAATAAACCATGCATCTTCTAGAATGAGGCCATTAGAAATTGATCAGTTAATTTAGGGGCAGCTAAGGTCACAGCCCTGATGAAAGCATGCACTAGGAAACACCTTCTAGAGTCAGCCCTGTTAATAGCCTGCTGCAGTCACAAGGGCTGCCCTGGTCGGTGCTTCCTGAATAGATGTGTGAGCAGAGAGGGTTCTTCAGGAGACCTAGGGCACATGGTTACAGTCCACTCCCAGGTGATGCCTGTAACATGGAGGAAGCCAGGGTGCAATTACTGAAGAGCTGACCAGGCCACAGTGGAACCTTGGCGTTCCCATTCCTCCTAGGGCCAAACCAGTGTGATGGCCATTCAATGGGAGAGAATTCCCATTCAACCTCTTTAAATAGTTACAATGATCCCGCCCCCACCAGCTGCACAAGGGCATGTGCACATACATACACACTCCCACACCTGCACACTCACATGTGCACACACATGCACTCTCACATACTCACATACATGCTTTTGCACGCACACATATCCATACACACTCATACACATCTTTCTGACATACATACATTCTCACACACAAGCATACTCCCCAAAACACACATGTACTCTTAGGCACGCACACTCACACAGTCACATAACACACACACCTTCAACCTCCTGCATGAAATACAGCCTGTGTCCCCTCTTTGTTCTTTTGCTCCACCCCCTCTGCACCCCATTTTCTAACCCACCCTAATCTCTCCAGCCCCTGACCCTGCCTGACTGGCTACCTCCCCTCACCCCACACATCGAATGCCTGATATGACTTCTTTTTGACTTTTGACTTCCTTGTGGACTCAGGTTTAGATTCTTTCACTGGTTCCCACCTGCTCCAGGTGAGCATCTTGGCAGGTCAAGTCTCACTTTCTGACCTCCTGTCTTGCCACAGTGAAACCCTGAAATTCAGTCCAGCACCCCTCGTTAGAACTGGACCTAAAACAATTACTCCAAGCTTTCCCAAGGGACAAGGGGCTCAATGCTGGCCACCTCCTTACCACTCTAGGCTCTTACCTCATTCACAAAGACCCAGTGGCTGTCCTTGGAAGCCAGGTTGGTCTCCACTGCCTGCAGAGAGAAAAAGAAAGCAAACATGAACATGAACAGAAGCAAGCCAGAAGCTGGCAGACACACAGGGTGATTGTTGAGATGGGGGTTGATAAACATTGTTCTTGGCGAATTTTTTCCTCACAAAACATGCCATCCCCCTGGGGCCAGCTCTGGCTGCCTTAGTTACAAGACAAGTCATTTAAACACAGACATCTGATTCCTGCTGTTCAAGCTCTTAGGCGCCAGCCCCAAGCAAGGGTAGAAGCTCTGGTTCCTGTGGAATCACAGGGACCCGGGCCCGGGTACCCCTTCTCTCCCAGAAAATGCCTGCAAACTCCTTTCTGGAGGGGCCCTTAAGGGGTGAGTTTCGTCACTGCCAGAGGTGACCAGGGGTACGAGGAGCAGAAATCTGGAATGAGGGGTTTACGGCGGCTTGTCCAGCCACACTGAAGACAGCAGTTCACAGCTGAAGCTCTGAGCTGCCTCGGTTATTTACGACTCACAGAACTGGCTCTTTCTAGCTCCTGGGCAGTGACCCCACCCCTGTCATTCTCTTATAGCACTTTGTTCTATTTCTTTATTGCCATTTCTGGGCTTGAATAGTTGTCAGTCTATTTATTTCTTATTGTCTATCTCCTCCACCACGTTGGGGTCTCCATGAGGTCAGGGGCCACGTCTGTTTTGGTCACAGTTGTGTCCCAGAAACGTATACTATAACCAGCACATAGTAGGTGTTCCATAAATGTTGTTGACTATATGAATAAAGTATTGGCGGGCAAAGCAGATAGGACTCAGTTACTTATACTGTTTCTCATGTTTTTATGAGTGTTTTCTTTTCCTCGTTTAATTAGAAAGCCAACAGGTTGAAAGTAGAAGGAACTGATAGTTATCAAGCATGTTCTGCAAAAATACTTGTAGTTTGAATGTGCCACGCACTTGCTGAGTACCAAGTACTGTGCCAGGCCGCCTATGAACCTGAAAGAGAGTTCTCAGGTTGTAGTCCCCTTTTTTTTTTTAATGTAAGTTTTATTACTTTCTTTATTTGAAAAAAATACAGCAAAATAAAAATGTTCAATATCATTTCATAACCCTGCCCCATTTTTAAAAAAATGTGCTCAAGTAGTATAAATGTCCCATTATCCCTCCAAACTCATCTCCCAGAGATCATTTGAGATGTCCCCATCCAGCAGTGTTTAGTCACATCTGCAGACATATCTACATACACTTATCAGACAGTTTTTATTAAAATGGGATCACGAAATACATATTAGGATACAACTGTCATTTTTGAGTTGTCTGTGTATCGAGAATAGCTTTTCTTACGAGTACATGGAGACCTGACTCATTGCCTCCCCCAGTGACCCAGACACATGTTGGACCCAGGTCATCACATTGTTATTATACAGGGTTCCATTAGAACCTCACTTATATAAACAATGGACAGGTTTGCTGGCCAACACAATAAGCATGTGGAAACAGAGCCGGGGGAGTGCCCAGGCCAGCCCTAGTATCCCCCTTCTTTACAGAGAGCACCCTATAGAACACCAAGAGTTGGCATGGGGGCCTTTCCTAGGCAATGTCAGGGTGAAGGACAAGACTCCTTCTCCAGCCCATGACTAAGAGGATGCCAGTTCCTGTGAAGACAAGTGGGGACGGGAGTCTGGCCTGGGCTGGGTACCTCATGGCACCATGTCCTGAAGATACTTTCTGCCCCATTCTACAAACTTAATACAGCAGGGCCTCTCTACAGAAGCTGAGAGGATTTTAGATGTTCTGAAGGGGTGAAGATGGGAGAGCACCATGGAATGGAGTCACGGCCACACAGCCCAGAGCCTCTCTCCAACATGCAGACTTTCAAGAGGATCTTCAGAAGCCTGGAGGCCTGAGGGGATGGGGGAGGGAGATGTGGGCACAGGGGGCCCTGAAAATCCTCTGCAGCACACTGCTGGGCTCTGGCTTGTCTCCATTCCCATCACCTTAATGCTCATAAGAGGACATCGGTGACACATCAAATCTGTGCATAATACAGAGTTGGGAGGAGGTCATAATGTCTCAGGAAGCCAGAACACTGAACTGAATCTAAAGGGATGTGGTTTAACAAGGCTGCACTCAAAGTCCTACACTTGGTTTCCAGGAGCAGAAGGGCAAACGGGGAGATGAGAATTGAAGGCAACACCACTGAGTAAAGACCCATGAAAAGGAAGGAGGCCACGGGTCTCTTCTGCCCCTTGAGACTTCTTGGCCCCCCTGCTTGATGGAGGACACTGAAGACTGGAATCTGTCAGTGTAAACCGATGACCAGTTACAGTGACCAGGGATGCTTAAGGACAGAACAGCACAAATACCTTTAAATGCATGAAGAACTGCCATGTGCAAGAGAGACTGGAATTACTCTGCAGCCTTTGAGAGACCTGATTTAGGATGAAGGTATCCAGTAATCAGGGAGGCAGATATCAACTCAATGTAAGAGAGAACTTTCTGACTTTCCAAGTCGTTCAAGATGGAGTGGGCTGCCTTGGGAGCAGCGTGTTCCCATGGGACGTGCCTGAGTAGAAGATGAACAGCAGTGCCCTGACGGGTACTAAAGCATCACCATGGAGGGTGAGACTCCATCAGGCAATGACATTCTGAAGCAGTGATTCTCATCTGGCAGCGTGCATGTTGCTCTGCCAGCCTGGCCAGGGGCTTCCCACATATAATCTGAAACTGGCACCCATACACAGAGGGCAGCGAGAGACTGAAGCAAAAGGCAGACCTCTCCAGGTTGGTAGGTGGCAGGCTTAATGAGCAAGGGAACTTACATACAAGGCTTTTCTTCGGTGGCTACAAGACTAGTTTTCCGTACCTGCCCACCAGCATCTTAAAGTTTCTATAAAGGCCTTAACTGGGTTCAGTCACATACCCAGTCTGGACAGTCTCCACCCCACATTTCTATCTCAACGCTGTGTCCTTGGGCAGCTTCTGCCACCAGGAGGCAAGCGGAGTGCACGTTCCAAGCACAGGCAAGGGAGTGGGAAGCCTCCAATTGCCTGGGTCCAGGTCACGGGTCAAACCATTGATCACGACTTCTTGATGATCTTTCCCAACAATCTAAGAACCTTTTGGAGAGCTTTGTAAAATATGGCGGCCTGACCACCACTCCTAGGAATCCTACATTTACTGGGAATGGCCGTGTGCCTGAGATCCTGTTGTTTCAGAGCTCTGACCCTGACTCCTGGTCTCTAGGACTGGGAGTCCTGCTCCTGAACATGTAGTTCTGTGAACCTGAAGGTGTGGGTGCACCTGTACAGGTGAGAGGTCCTCCACCTGTCCCCACAGGAGCCAGCAGCAGTTGTGGGCACTTCCCAGGGAGCAGGTGGGAGCCTTGGCTACTCAATGGAGAATTCACACTTGATCTCAGGCTCATGCACAGAGAATATTGATGCAGAGAATTGATCAGAAAACCCCACAGGCCAACTGGCCAACTTTCCTGTCCTACTTTCCCTCACCAATTAAGCATCAGCTAATTTGTTAAGCCTCTCTTCCCCACACGGAGATAAATAGCACTTGGCTGCAGCCTTTTCCAGAGGGTGCAACTCACACAGAAGCTGAGATGGATGGTGAGGAAAAACTACTGCAGATTTAGCAAGAACACCTCCCCCCTTCCTAATTACTGGAGAGCTGCCAGCTCTGTGGGAAGTGCCCTAAATGCTCACAGCACCACTAATTCCCCCTCTACCTGCTGTCTTTTCCTTCTTTCTCACCAACCATGAAGCAGGTGGAGGCCAGTCTTCCCTTTCATCACAGAGTGAGCAAGGTAAGGAGGAGGCAGGGAGGCAGGGTGCATTCCAATCCCAGTGTGGCCATCGCTTAGCTGAGTGCTCATGCGTGAACTACTCCACCTCTCGGAGCGGCAGCTCCATGCCTAAAAGGCGTTCGAATGCCCACAGTGCTGTCGATACTCTGCCCATGTCCCCTGCAAATCCCATGAGGATCTTTGAACACACTGGTTCCTGTGTGTGCTCACTCCCAATGGCAGATGCCCCTGGCTCAGGCTGCCAGAACCCTGCTTGGCACTCACGATGCCTGGGAATTTACAGCCCTTCCCAAGCACTGAGGGTGTTGCATATACAAATCCCAGCTGTCCTGTTCCCTGGTGGGGACTGCTCCATGTGTGAGCTCACCCATTTTCCGAATCGCCCTGTAGGATGAGCCGAACCTGCTTCACTTGACCTCACACCCTCCCTGGCTTCCCTATTGCACATTCCCATTCCCCTGCTGTCTTCCTTTAATTCCTCTGGGAACACTTCTTAATTAATCATTGTCACACAAATTCTCACCTCAAAATCTGCTTCTGGGAACCCAACCTGAGACCAACACCTCCCACCCTGGAGGGATTACTGTGAGAATTAAATGAAATTACACATGAAGTTTCCAGGCCAGAAAGAAGCTCACTCTAGAAGATCAGTTAACACAAAGGGCCTCCCTATTCCTTCCACTGACGTCTCCTACCTGGTTGGCATTCTGTGGTCTCCCTTGAATGTATAGAAGTGCATAATCTGTCATGCATTCCTTCCTTCACTCAACAGACTGGGCCCACCACACGCCAGCAGCTGTCCTAACTCTGCTGGACACAAGTGTGCACCAGGGGCCTCATTCCTGCCTTCATGGAGCCAACAAAGGCAAGAAGACTGGCAATAAACACCCACGGCAAGTGTGGTGAGCACTGGCTCCTCCATGAGTCCACGGACCCTCAAGACAGCACAGCGCGGGACCTCCCCTCATCTCCACAACACCTGAGTCTATAACTTCGAAGCCAACACCGACTGCAGAGAAGCTCTGAGCTAACCAAACAATAAAGGGCGGCCCCTTTGTTCCATGGGTGAGGTGGGCAGGGAATGGGGCTGGCCTCCTACTCAGGGGGCACTCTCAGTCACATACCTTCAGCACATAGAAAAGCCGGTTTCCTGCAACTGGGTTTCCCTCCTGGAGCTGGGCACCAAGGCTCTGGAGCAACCCTCAGAATAATGCAGTGGTAG